AGGGTCAACCTCGTCGGCACCGTCGATGGCCAGATCGACGACGGGGTGGGAGTCGAGATCGGACAGGGGAATCCCAAGGGAGAGTGCCTGTTCGTGGGTTATGTTGGAGGTGGGGATTCCGACAATGTCTTTGAGTTTGCCCTGTCGGAGAAGTTCTCCGATGCGGTCCACGGCGAGCTTGGCTGTGCCGAGGCCGATAACCATGCCGGATTCGACGTACTCGACGGCCTTGTAGGCGGCAATCTTCTTGAGGTCATCTTGGGTGAAGACGACGGAGGGAGAGGAAGGGAGGAGGATGCCGGCGTCCATGGCGGCGTTCTCGGTGGCGATGAAATGCGGGTAGGGAATGGCCATCTTAATGGGTGGAGGAAATGGGTGAAAAGACCTAAACTTGCCACGCCCCAGAGGTTTAAACGTGTGGTGGAAGCAGAGAGAACAGAGATAAGGTTGAAGGGTTAGAGAGGACTGAGATTGATTGGGTATAGAGAAGGGGTAATGGAGAAAAAGCAATTTGGTTCAAAGACTGCGTTTTTGTACTTTGAAGAGAAATTGACATGCCCAGAAAGTCCTTTTTGTAACGTTTATACGTAAATCAGCGAAGAAGCACACAAAAAATAATTAAATTATTTTTAGGAAACAGGTTTTTTAACAATTCTTTTTTACAATTTTTTTACAATAGATCAGTCCGTTTCAAATATTTTTTTAAAATTAAATTAAAACGTAAAAAATTATTAAAACATCAAAAATTATTAATTATATATTAATTATACTCATTTATAATTAAAACATAAAAAATTATCATTTATATCTTAATTATAATTAAAATTTAAATCAGAATTTATTATATTTTAATTTATTATTATTTTTCTTTAGTAATCGATTATAACACTAAACTAGTTTATTTTTTTAATAATTTTAACGTTACGTAATTCATTACCGTCTTTCGTAATTAATTACAAATAAAAAAATGTGAAAATATATAACTTCACTTTTTTAAATTGTTTAAAACTAAAGTGATGCAGTCGTCAAACGACTTCAAATATGTAAAAACCAGACAACTTACTTATAAATTTAATTTTAAAATTTTTTATCTACTTTAATAATAAGACATTTAGATTTACTTATAAGCATAAAAAACGCCAGAAAGATAAAAGAGAGAGAGAGAGAGAAAATATTCCAACTAAGAATGCAGCTTCCCAGCTTTTTTCTGGAGGGATAAACCTTAAACTGTTTGTAATTTAATTAAGTACACATCATTCTTAAAATGAAAAAGACTAATAT